GGTGGTTTGTTTTTTAATATTTATTTTTGAGAGAGAGACAGAGTGTGAGCAGGGGAGGAGCAGAGAGAGAAGGAGACACAGAATCCGAAGCAGGCGCCAGGCCCTGAGCTGTCAACACAGAGCCCGATGCGGGGCTCAAACTCATAAACCAGGAGATCATGACCTGAGCCCAAGTCGGACACTCAACTGACTGAGCCACCCAGGTGCCCCAAATGTTTATTTTTGAGATAGATAGATAGCACAAGTGTGTGGGGGGGGCAGAGATAGAGAGACACACAGAGTCCAAAGCAGGCTCTGAACTGTCAGCACAGAGCCCAATGTGGGGCTTGAACTCACAGACCGTGATATAATGACCTGAGCCGACTGAGCCACCCAGGTGCCCCACACTGCATAATAGCTTTATATGAAGCTCAGAAATCAGCTACCATGATAGACTTTAGAGTAATGGTTAGCTCCAGGGGAGCCTGGGAGGGGGCACTTGGGGGCATTCTAGGGTACTGGACATATTCAATGTCTTGAACAGGGAGAGGAGGCATTGCAGTATATGTAAAAGGCCTTAAGCTGCTCCAAGTGCAAATATGAATCAAGTTAAAAATTATTAATTGTCCTCATGTAAAAGGGGGAAAAGACTTTCCTCCTCCTCATTTTGTAAAAGGTTTTCTTCCTTGGTGCCCTTGGGTGGCTCAGTCGGTTGAGTGCCAACTTCAACTCAGGTCATGATCTCATGGTCCATGGGTTTGAGCCCCACATTGGGCTTTGTGCTGACAGCTCAGAGCCTGGAGCCTGCTTTGGATTCTGTGTCTCCCTCTCTCTGCCCCTCTCCTGCTCACACTCTGCCTCTGTCTCTCAAAAATAAATAAACGTTGGGGGGAAAAAGCTAAAAAAAGGTTTTATTTCTTTGAGAGACCCCTTCCCCCTCGTGTGGGAGAGAGAGAGATAGGTAGAGATAGAGAATCCCAAGCAGGCTCTGCACTGTCCACGCAAAGCCCAATGTGGGGCTCAAACTCATGAACCATGAGATCATGACCTGACTGGAAGCTGGACGCTCAACAGACAGAGCCACCCAGACACCCCTCAGCAAATTTCAATTACGCACTACAGCGTTATTGACTAGAGTTACCATGTTTTACATTAGATCCTCAGACCTTATCTTAGAGCTAAAAGTTTTCCCTTCTCACCAACCTGTCCCTCCTTCCCCCATCCCCCAATCCCCTGCCACAAGGATGACCCTGGAAAATGTTTTGCTCAGTGAAGTAAGCCAGACAGGAAAATACTGCATGGTGTCACTTATGGGTCATCTTAAATTAAAACACACACACACACACACACACACACACACACATAGAAACAGAAAGTAGACAAAAGGTTGCCCCTTCCTTAAGGGCATTTCTTTAGCAAACTTGTCATTGCAAATGTTTTCTCTTCCCCTTGGAGATACAAATCTTGAAAGTCTAAATTGTCTCTTGCTGGTGTTACTCTGAGCCATAAACACCAAGGAAGACAGCGCCCCTATCCTTCTGTCTCCAGGACACCTTAATTGAGGTCCTGGTTCCAAGCTGTGATTACCTGCTGGTCCCAGAGAAGCTACAAGTTTCATTACTTTTTTGGTGAAAGACAATTAGCTCATACAAATGGTCGCCCCAGTTACCAGGTAAACTTAGGATAAAATACATGTATCAAATGTTGCTGTCAGCTCCTGTACACGTCCTCATACTGCAAGACAAGTTATTTATCTTGAGAACATGTATGTAACCAGCTGTATCCCCTGGGCTCTATAAAAAGGGCAAATTTTGTATCTGCCTTTGTATCGTCTTTCAGTGAATCACCTGTGATGCGCTTTGAATAAGCATGAAGCCAGACCACAACAATACAATGTCTTTCTCTTCTTTTTGTGCAGATGTGTTCTGGGTTGGCAGGAGATTTTGGTTTTGTTTTGTTTTGTTTTTAATTTTTTTTTTAAACGTTTGTTTTATTTTTGAGACAGAGACAGAGCATGAACGGGGGACGGGCAGGGCAGAGAGAGAGGGAGACACAGAATCGGAAACAGGTTCCAGGCTCTGAGCTATCAGCCCAGAGCCCGACGCGGGGCTCGAACTCACGGACCGCAAGATCGTGACCTGAGCTGAAGTCAGACGCCTAACCGACTGCGCCACCCAGGCGCCCCTGGAGATTTTGTTTTTAATGGTTGCCCCAACACCGTACACTTGAGATGGTCTGTGCTTTATGTGGGTTACATTTTAACAAAGAACCAAAGAAACCCGCCACAAGGTCCCTGTGCAAGATCCCTGTTAAAAAAAAACACAAAGTCAGCAACAGCCTGTGCATGGGTCTCTGCCTTGCAGACTTACTTCAGTTGCCACCAGGTTGAATCGTGGAAAGATTGCCAGGACTCCCACAATTTCACATCTACAAAGGTAGCAAGTCTGTAAGGTTTAATATTTGAGTGCCTACTTCGTGTCAGTCACTGGAGGCAAGATGTGGTCATGGTGCAAGCTCTCAGGTCTCACAAGGGGGACCCCAAGCTTTCGTCCTGCTCACCATTTTATTCCAAAAGTGCCCAACACATTGCAGGCACCTGAATGCTTATTGAACAAATGGTTAATGCAAAGGTGGAAAATATTCAACCAAGTCACTTGGACCAAAGAGTCAAGGAGAGTAGGAGGTTACCAGGGTAGGAGAATGTGGGGTGATGGTCTAATAGGTTCACATTTCATTTGGGGTGATGAATATTTAGGGGACCAATGGGGACAGTTGCACAACACTGTGAATGTACTACATACACTGAAATGTACACATTAAAATGATTAACTGGGGGCACCTGAGTGGCTCAGTCTGTTAAGTGTCCAACTTCAGTTCAGGTCATGATCCCATGGTTCGCTGGTTCAAGTCACACATCGGGCTCTGTGCTGACAGCTCAGAGCCTGAAGCCTGCTGCAGATTCTGTGTCTCCCTCTCTCTCTGCCCCTCCTCTGCTCATACATACTCTGTTGTCCCTCTCTCAAAAATAAACATTAAAAAATTAAAAATATCTTGAGGTTTATAGGCAATATTTATGACAAAGGGGGGGAAAAAAGATAGATCTACCCTTACTCCCCTCAGAGCTTGGTCCAGCCAGGACACCGCTCATCTCAAATCCCAGGGAGCACTGAAACCAACAGAGAAGAGGCTTGGGGCTACTGGTCTGCTGACTTGCCTCTCCCATAAGGAGCTCCTTCAGAACAGACAGCTGTTAAAGCCCATCCCAGCAGTCCAGGTTCACAGGACTAGCACTGGAGGTGGTTGGGGGAAAAGAGAGAGAGGGAACATTGGGAAGGAGGGGGAAGCTCGTGGGGAAAAGCCCTAGGAGGCATTAACAGGGAGAATAAAGATCAAGAGGAAGTCTGAGCTTTGAATGGCATCAAACAATCATTAAACACCCACCAGAAGCCAGGCGAGGAGGCGCTGCCCTAAGACTGGGGACACAGCCTTGGATGAGCAGATTGCACGAGCTTACAGTGAAGATGCATGTTTGC